AAGAGTACTAAAGTGCCTTCAGAATTATTCTTTCACTCAACAACGCTTAGACCTTTAAAGGCACAGTTAACGATAATTTTGAGGCACCCGTTTTTATTCGAAAAGCGGAAGTATAGATTGGGAATAGTTCATCGATAGTGAAGAAAGCTAGAGAATTCGCCGATTTCGAGAAGAATACGGCTCCTCAGAAGTAGGGAAAATAGAGGTCGGACGAGATTGCCATGACAAAAATAACATGGTAGGGGTGCTCGCACGAGATTCCAGTTATTGCAATTGCACAAAGAGCTGACTATATCAAGCCAGAACTGTAGGGACTGTCTTTCGCTGTCGCTATGGGTCATGACAAATTGCCTGAACCTCTACATGGGTTCCCTTGTGATCGGTACAGCCCCTAGAATGCCGGTGAAACTCGTCCGAGGATACACTCGGGCCAATCTTTGAGCCTCTATAACTCCTTAACTGGGGCGTTTTCCGACCTAATAGTGGCAGATATGGCATACGCGGGGTGTCAAACTCATCCTGTTAGAGAACCTCAGAAACCATTTTTACCGTGAACTGTACCTTTAAGTATACATAGATGCCGAGCTAAAATATCGCTGAATTCTGCAAAAATCATACTATCTATAGATACTATCTATCATACTTTCTTTATCATTATACTACTATCTATCTCTTGTCATTGAGATGATTTCCAAATTAAGAGGTAAGAGTTATATTCGAAAGAGAGTGCCAGGACTGCAATTTAGCTAAACCAGAAGCTTTTCGAGCTTCACAGGAAGTTATCCTGGCTCTTTTCGGAGTCAAGCATTCTCCGAATGAAAATTCTCTACATGTTTAAAACGGAGTCTCACCAGTCTAGACATGGGACCAGCCTCAGCCTTCTCACTGGACTCAAATGAGGTCCCCGTTATCTAAAGGTTCGAAGACTTTCAAGTCGTTCAAAAAACTGGAAATTGAACCAAAAGAGTGGTTAGGTCCAGCTGTTCGGTCATTTTCATGTCATCTTCGCTCCGATCCCTACTATTGTGATCCTTATATCTCATTTGTAGGTGCTATCCATCAGTTGGCAAATCACCGGCGACCCACCTAGAAGGAGCGGTATCTTAAGAAGGGAACCATCCTCTCAATGAGGTGATGTAACCTCATTAGTCTCATCAACCAACCTCTTATCTCCGCACTCGTCCGTCGGTCACTAAAAAACCGACGGGTACCGTTACCGTAATCGGATTACGATTCATTATTTAACACCTGCTCAGCACCTACACTGTGACATGTTCGATAGTGAGCACTATAGACCGCCGATAGTAGAGCTCCTTAATGGAGGAAATGGTCTTACCGTAGCCGGCAATGCTCCAGCTTGATTTCTCAACGCATCGAAACACTCCTGACAACGTGGCTGTTCAAATGAACTTGAAACGATACCGTAATCCGACGTTCTCTAAACGAAAGCTGGTGAACCGACTTGAAATGAGATACTGATTTGAGAAATTGAGTTCAATTTAGGTTTTTTGAAATCAAATTTCAATAATTCAATTCTTACATGGCATGAGAAGCACTTGACGCCACCGAAGTTTTCCGTTTCTTCCTTCTTAACTTCGGGAGATCCGCTCGAGCCACTTTCGTCATTTGACTGAAACAGTGTATATGAATGTACGCCTCAGTTTAAACAGCTTGTGTACACTGAGAAAATCCATAAAAGCATAAATGCAATGAAAATTTACTGTCAATTTTTTTGGGAAAGCAAAATTCTGGATCTACAGTCATAGAATACGAGCACCTTGGAAGAGACCAATCTTGCAAAAGAGTGAAGGTGAACAAGGAGCACGCTCTCCGTTAAGAAAACTGTCCGTTATTGCTCTCATAGAATCAGGATCGTTTCCAAGTTATTTCACATAAGTCCCTAATCCCTTGTCGGTTCACAACTTGCTAAAACTCCTGCCTGGAAGACAAAATACAAAGACAGATTTCGTTTCTCTAAGCAAACGCCTTTTATGGGCCTTGAATCCTGGAGTTAAGTCAAGTGAATAGCTTACCGAGAACGAACTTATCGCAACTCAGGCATTCCAGTAAGTTATACCTTTCGATATCAAAAATTGTGAAAGGTCGGTCTACCCTGGTGGTGCACAA